AAAGAATGAAGAGACAAAAAACATACAGGTATGCAGATACTGAACTGTCTCATACTGAAGACAATCTTCATACCAGGGTGCCACTTAAGCAGCTCTCTTTGTTATGGAGATAATTTCTAATACAGACTGTATGGAATTCTGTGCTGGTCCTGAACTTAAAACAGCCACAGCTGCATCTGACAGAGCATATTGCCCTAACTCAGCTACAATCTGATCTTAATTTCCTACAGCATTTCTTCTCTTAATATTTCAGTTTACTGTGGTGGTTTAAAAAGGGTGGGATCTACAGGCACAGGTAGACCAGATGAACCTTGAAATCCAATATCCATCTTGGCAAGTACAGCAAGATCTTTCACCCTTATCTTAAGGCAACAGGTTATATTATGAATTTATTTTAATACACTGCAGAGTGCAGTTGTAAACGGACACCCATCTCTTGAGCAGCACACAATATACAAAACCATCCGCAAAGAGTAGCAAATAAATGGTGGTTTGGAATGCAGTTGGTAGGGGAGAGGGGAGGGTGAAGTTGGGTGATGGAAACTGAACTTGAATAGGCATATTGAAGAGGAACAGTGAAGCACTGTGCTTCTGGCCAGGCTCAGTCAGACCGTCAAGTTACCAACATTTAACACTTTTCAATTCATTGCATACATTTCCAAACTACTGCTACCAGCCAGGAAGAGAGCTGTCACTGGCTGTGCGTTGGCAGAGGCAAGATGGTGTCGTCTAGTCCTAGCTGGCACCTCAGGACCCTGCAGTTGCTCGCTCACTCTTCCTAGTGGGATAGGGGAGATACTCTGAAGGGTAAAAGTGAGAAAACTTGTGGGTTGAAATAAAAACAGTTTAATAAGGAAAGTAAAAGCTGTGCACACAAGCAAAGGAAGGAATTCAGTCTCTGCTGCCCATCGGCAGGCAGGTGTTCAGCCATCTCCAGGGAAGCAGGGCTCCATCATGTATAATGGTTACTTGGGAAGACAAACGCCATCACTCCGAACGTCCTCCCCTTCCTCCTTCTTCCCCCAGCTTTATGTGCTGAGCATG